AGCAGCAGCAGCAGCAGCAGCCTCCGCCGCCGCCGTACGAGAGATACAACGACTGCGACAGGAACCGCGGTGCCCAGAGATTCGAGCGAGAGAGGGAACGATACTTGGAGAAGTCGCCCACCACCACCACCACCATCATCACTAACACCACCACTACTAACACCACCGCCGTCGCCCACCAGAAGATCACTGCCTCCACTTACGAAAGGGAGAGGGCTTTCGAGAAGAATCCCGATAGAAATAGAAACATCGAGCGCGCGTCGAGCCGTCGCTTCGAGAGGCCGAGGCCGCCGTCCGAGGAAGCTCCTCAGAGACCGACCGACCCTCGTAACCTCTACCGAGAGCGCAGGTACTCCGACAAGGAGGAGGCCATCTACGGCGAGACCAGATACGTCCGGGAGAGCGGATCCTCCATAGACAAGGAGCGCGGCTACGAGTCCAATTTCGAGACGAAGCTGGAAAGGACCAAGGTGATCGAGAGGCACGGTTATCAGAATCTCGGCCAGAGTAATCTGCACAAGTTCCAGCGGAACGGGCCGCAACACGCGGAGAAGAACGACACGAACAACAACACGTTGAAGGGCGACAACCGGAAGCCGCTGCTTCCACGACAGACGACCGCCGTTGCCCACTTGATACAGACAGGCAGGGCTTTCGACGTCCAAGAGTCCAAGAGCCCGAAGCTCGTCAAGAGAACGAAATCCTTCTGGAGGTTCAGGAGAGACTCCGACGTGCTGGAGGGGATGGCTCTCTGGCAGCACAGATCCCTGGTCGACATACCGAAGATGATTAAGAAGGAAGCAAAGGACGAGGCGAACGCGGACGACGCCAGCAAGAAGCAAACTCCGGAGGGCAGTCCCGGTTCTCGGCAAAGTTTGGAGAAAAGGAACAGCGACGTGACCATCACCAACGAGTCTCACCACGAGGAGCCGAAACCCGCGGAGAGGATCCACGTGCCCGAGAAATCCGATTACTTCGAGGATTTTCCCACGCCGGCGGAAAGGCCGAAGACCGTCGAGCGATCTGAATACCGGATGCATCAGGAGGAGAGGTCCTACTTCATGGGGAATGTCTCGCGAAAAGCGATCATCGAGAAAGAGAGGAAACGCAGCCTGGAGGCTAAGCGTAACATGATCGTGGCCGAACTGAAGGAGAACAACGAGGCCAAGAGGCACGAGAGGAGGAAGAAGTACACGGACGACGAGGACGGCTTGACCCAGAACTTTAGCGAGACGGAGGCGTCCGACGAGGAATCCACGTACAGCTGCATCGTGGTGAAGGATCAAACAGTGGCTGAGAAGACTCTTCTTCCCAGAACTAAACTCCGCAGGGATTCCGATCGGGAAAGGGACAAAAATACTTGCGGACCGTGGTACGATCTTTGGGGAGTGGACGCCTCCGTCAACAAGAAAAAGAAGAAGAAACAGCAATAAATCTATTAAGCTCTCTCTTCCAATCGCTCGCCTCCTCCGAATCAGTGTCGTTGTTTCACAGCCCCTAGCGACCTCCATCGAGAGAGACCGTTTGTCACGGTTGCAAAGTTTATTAAAAACACGTTACACGTTACGCGCCAAGTGTCCAACTTTACCCAACGTCAACGTCCCGAAAGAAAAAAATTTCGAATTGGACCAGTCTGTGGCAGGGATACTCGGGATACACGACTCATTGTATAATTTCGATCCAAAAATTTTACTCGCGTTTTTTGAGTTTGCCATTGCGTACCAATTTTATTATCGTCTCCACCTTTGGCACCACGAATGACCGTACTTCGCAAGTCCCCCACGTAGCGCTATTCCCATTGCTTCTTGAAAACGTTAAAGCCTGTAATCCCTTTTCTTTTTTTTTTCTTTTTTTGTTTGTTTGTTTGTTTGCAAGCATAGTTGTACTGTGTTATCCTGCTTTCGTCGACGCTTGTCTATGACGAAATCAACGTGTTGACGTTAAGCGTGCGCGCGATTCAGCGCGTGTCTGACGAGCACTCTGCGACCGCGATGGTGAAAACAACGTTACGGATGATGTTTCAATCGTAACTCTTGTTGGATCCGTCGTTGCAGAACGCCGCAACGATTCGACGATACTAACGTAAACCTCGAGAACTTTCGTCGAGTCTTGAATAATTAATACCGCGTTCGGGGGGCGTACGGGTAGCAAATCTGTTGAATTAAAAAGTTTCCGAAGAATTTGCCACTCGTTCGCTCACGGCGTGGAAATTCTTGAATGAAACACGAAGAGAGAAGTTTCAGAAGTGCGTAAGTACATAGCGCGCGCTCCAACGAATTGGAATTAATCTGCCAGTTTCCACAAATCGTTCCTGTCAATGGCCAACGAACGCATAAATAATTGCGACGCTCGTTGCGCCACACGCTGCGCTTAAAAACGATCGTGTAAACTAGTTTCTGCATTAATAACATGACGATTCGAGCTTGAAACTTCATGTCCGCGCATTCGTTCATTACCTGTGTAAATTAGTTTCTAGCTGCCGTTGAAACGATTTGATACGCGGCACGCGCTATCGCAACATTCGGTTCGAGCGTTGTACACGCTGTTGGTTTGCAAAGAATTTAATTTGCTTTTTCCTCGCGGTGTTTCGCGGTCTTGATATATCGCGCAAGACGCTCGTGGTTTTGTTGTATTTTCGGTGAAAATCTGGCAAGACTTGGTCGTGTTCCGTTCCGTATGGATTCTAATTCTCTCTCGCGGTGTAATAAAAATCTTGGTAAAAGAAACGCGCGTGTTTCGTTCATTTCTGCGTAGCTGGAAGAACTTTGTTTGCACATCTTCTATCGCGTCTTCTATCGGCTCGCACTTTGTCGTTGCTATCGTTGCCACGAAATTTGTGTGTTGCCAGAAAGTGTGCTGTTCACGCGCGATACTACGCCGTAAAATTTTCACTTCTGTTTGTGTTTGTGCTTCGCATGAAATATCGTGTCAATGTTGCCCTCGTGCCAATGTTTTCCTAAGGTATCGTCACGTGAGATCGTCGCAACCAGCCTACGACGCCAAATTTTGCAGTTTTTCTCTCTGATTGCTACGTAAAGCAAGACGGAAATGCAATACTTTCGAAATTTGCGAAAGTACAGTTTCGGAGCGCGTTGTGAAAGCAACTTCACAGTACGCTTTCGAAGTCCCAAGCAGTTCGATCTTCTCAACGTTGAAAACAAAAAAATAAAATAAAATAAAATAAAATAAAATTTATCACAATTTCTCGCTTGCGCCGGAAAAAAAATTTCAAGCTCCATGTTCAAGAACTGCTTGGACACTATCGGTATTACTTTATGTCAATGAAATGTTTTTTAACATGTTCGAACAGCTCTCCACACAGCGCGGACAGTGCGACTGATTAAACTTCCTTTGATTATTCGATTCTTCCAGGACAAACATATTCGCAACGGTAAAGCTACGCAAAACGAAGACGAACGATCGCTCGGCGCCAGCGTTGTCATGAGATAAACTCTTCATCTAGATTACTTTCCTCGTGTGATGTTAGATGTAGCGACAAAGGTGCTGCCTCTCTCTCTCTGTGTTCGAGAGAGACAACAGTTCCCTTCGTGAAAAAAAAAACTTCTGAAGCGACTGCTTCGGAGAGTCTTCCTCTTCTTTTTCTTTTTTTTTTTTTTTTTTCTTTTCACGACGTGGATGTCCGTCCAACGAACACGTCTGGCTTTAATCCTCTATGACTATTCTTTCGAAGAGCGAAGACGAGGATTCACCAAGTGATCCATACGCTTCGTGCCAGTGAAATATCCCTTCACAGTAAGCTTTTCTTTTTTTTTTCTCTCTCTGAAAATTCTTCAGCTCGTGATGTACGTTCAAAGATTTTCACTCCCTTTCGATTTCATCGAACTTGTCGAATTTATCGAATGCTGTAACGCGGACTGATGATCATAGAATGATTGGGGACCATTGTGCGATCAATAACGATGCGTTTTTTTTATATACGTCGATGTTTAAGAATATTTTTTACGAATCATAGAGGATTGAAGAATAGTCCTTCGACCGAAAAGAGGGCCACGAGAATGTCAACGTCGAGGTAAGACGATCGTCAAGCATTTCCTCCGTACTTTGTCTTTACCGAATAATTCCATCTTTTATTTCGAAAGAAAAAACAAATTAATCACCGCTGTAAGATAGTTTTCGTTTTAAGAATTATTTACATTCCTTAATACTTAATTAGAGATAAATATGTAAAACATTTTCGAAACCCTGCACGTGTTCTGTCCTATATTTTCTGCACGCCTCTCTTTTCAATCTTTATCGAAGATAGCTTCGGTTGAAAATCGACTCGCACGCAACTGTTCAAGGTTCATTCGCGCCTGCAAGTGTACTTCCGAGCGTGTTTCCTCCCCTTCGACGCTGTCCTCTGTGTCGTCGCGTCGTCGCTGAATGAAAACTTTCGTTCTAGACGTCGCGTCGTAAACCCTTTACACGTTCCTTGCCCGCACGGGTTAAGGCTCGTAAAATTTCACTCCTCATTTTCTTCCTGCCTCTTTTCTTCGCGGAATCTTGACTACCGCGCGTCTCGCGTGTTTCCGCGTCGGCGAAGCTTTTTCTCCAGCGACGACTGTCGCCGCTTCTTCGGTCTTGTTCGCCCGTGAAAATAAACCCCAATGATGAAAGAGGGCCGAGCGCGAGCTCCGGCTCTTCCTTTCCCCGGTTGCGTGCGCGAGATTGTGTGCGAGGAACTCTGTTTTCGAGTTTCGTGACTTTTGTTAGCTCATCGTCCGGTTGTTCCGCATCTCGCGCCCTATCTCCCCTCTCCCTTCTTTCTTATTTCTGTTCCCTTAGCTCTCGTGTTCCATTTGCTCCGCGAGTTCCATCACCGAGAACAACCGCCCCGCGTGTATTCGTTCGACTTTGACACAACTATCTACACACTGCCGGATGGATACTATGATCTGCGATTACTTCGATTAATGCGTTAGACACGTTAGGTTACCACCGAGGAAATATATACCTCGCGACGTGAGAAGAACTTGAAAGACACTTCGAGCTTCGTAGGCTGTAGAGTTTCGTGAACAAAACTCTGTTGTTTAGTCGTTTACTTGAGTAGAATGTACGTATGGAATTGTTTCTCGAAACAATGTATCGTCGTCCGATTGTTGTTTGTATTTGCGAGAGAGAAAGAGAGAATAATCTAAGGTACCGTCTTCACAGCTATACTAACTGCTAATATCAATCTGTAGCAATTTCTACGTATATATACGTGTGCACGCGTATGATTTCGAGTTTCGAAGATTTTACTTTCTAGATAATATTTCCCACGCTTCGAGAGAGTTGTTGAATTCTTCATTATCGAACTTTACTCGCCGATGCACGATAATCTGTATATATATATATAACGTTCGTTTTTGAATTAGCTTGAATTAGTTGAACTCGCGACATGTACGCGAGTAGTTACGTCCGAGCTGGCGAGTTTTAGATTATTGCGTTGCCGATGGATAGTTTTTGAACAGT